AAATGCCTCTTAATTAATATAAGATATTTGTGATACAAAAAGGAGGGCGAGTTTGGAAGACCCACACTTCCTACACCCTTCACCAGTCACTAAACTCACTGGTGTGCTTGCAAAAATATCCAACAGGGAACAGGAGTCCCCCATCCGCGACTTTCTTCTTGGCGAGCAACATCAGCTCGGCAAGGAACTCCAAGGAAGGCGAGCAAGGTCCGCTCCGCGACTTCCTTCTTGGCGAGCAACATCAGCTCGGGAAGGAACTTCCAAGGTCGGCGAGCAAGGTCCGCTCCGCGACTTGCTTCTTGGCTAGCAACATCAGCTCGGCAAGGAACTCCAAGGAAGGCGAGCAAGGTCCACTCCGCGACTTCCTTCTTGGCGAGCAACATCAGCTCGGCAAGGAACTCCAAGGAAGGCGAGCAAGGTCCGCTCCGCGACGTCCTTCTTGACGAGCAACATCAGCTCGGCAAGGAACTCCAAGGAAGGCGAACAAGGTCCGCTCCGCGACTTCTTTCTTGGAGAGCAACATCAGCTCGGCAAGGAACTTCCAAGGTCGGCGAGCAAGGTCCACTCCGCGACTTAATTCTTGGCAAGCAACATCAGCTCGGCAAGGAACTCCAAGGAAGGTGAGCAAGGTCCGCTCCGCCACTTCCTTCTTGGCGAGCAACATCAGCTCGAGAAGGAACTTCCAAGGTCGGCGAGCAAGGTCCGCTCCGCGACTTGCTTCTTGGCGAGCAACATCAGCTCGGCAAGGAACTTCCAAGGTCGACGAGCAAGGTCCGCCGCATGACTTGCTTCTTGGCGAGCAACATCAGCTCGGCAAGGAACTCCAAGGAAGGTGAGCATGGTCCGCTCCACGACTTCCTTCTTGGCGAGCAACATCCGCTCGGCAAGGAACTCCAAGGAAGGAGAGCAAGGTCCGCTCCGCGACTTCCTTCTTGGCGAGCAACATCAGCTCGGCAAGGAACTTCCAAGGTCGGCGAGCAAGGCCCGCTCCGCGACTTCCTTCTTGGCGAGCAACATCAGCTCGGCAAGGAACTCTAAGGAAGGCGAGCAAGGTCCACTCCGCCACTTCCTTCTTGGCGAGCAACATCAGCTCGGCAAGGAACTTCCAAGGTCGGCGAGTAAGGTCCGCTCCGCGACTTGCTTCTTGGCAAGCAACATTAGCTCAGCAAGGAACTCCAAGGAAGGCGAGTAAGGTCCGCTCCGCGACTTCCTTCTTGGCGAGCAACATCAGCTCGGCAAGGAACTCCAAGAAAGGCGAGCAAGGTCCGCTCCGCGACTTTCTTCTTGGCTAGCAACATTAGCTCGGCAAGGAACTTCTAAGGTCGACGAGCAAGGCCCGCTCTGCGACTTCCTTTTTGGCGAGCAACATCAGCTCGGCAAGGAACTTCCAAGGTCGGCGAGCAAGGTCCGCTCCGCGACTTGCTTCTTGGCGAGCAACAACAGCTCGGCAAAGAACTTCCAAGGTCGGCGAGCAAGGCCCGCTCCGCGACTTCCTTCTTAGCGAGCAACATCAGCTCGGCAAGGAACTCCAAGGAAGGCGAGCAAGGTCCGCTCCGCCACTTCCTTCTTGGCGAGCAACATCAGCTCGGCAAGGAACTCCAGTCTTTCCACCAAAATGATTGTCAATTGCCCTTTTTCCTCGGCCTCCTGACTGACAACTTCCAAAACCAAACTCCCTAGATCTCTTCCACGGTTGTTCGCACCGCCATCCTCTGAGCTTTCTACCGGGATAGAGCATCTCGGCTAGAGCCTTGAGTTGAGCAAATCATCAACTCGTTTGGCCGGAGTAAATCCTCTCTGCTGAATATTCTGAGTTGAGCAAATCATCAACTCATTTGGCCGGAGTAAATCATCTTGGCTGAATCTTCGGAGTTGAGCAAATCATCAACTCATTTGGCCGGAGTACATCATCTCGACTGAATCTTCAGAGTTGAGCAAATCATCAACTCATTTGGCCGGAGTAAATCATCTCGGCTGAAGCTTCAGAGTTGAGCAAATCATCAACTCATTTGGCCGGAGTACATCATCTCGGCTGAATCTTCAGAGTTGAGCAAATCATCAACTCATTTGGCCGGAATAAATCATCTCGGCTGAAACTTCGGTATTGAGCAAACCATCAACTCATCTGGCCGGAGTAAATCATCACGGCCTAAACTTTGGAGTTGAGCAAACCATCAACTCATCCGGCCGGAGTAAATTATCTCGGCCTAAATAGAAAAGTTCTTCAACAAAAGTAATTCACTTCATGGCCGGGGTATTCCTCTTCCCTCCAAGTCTTCCAAGTGGTATGCCCCTTCGCCCGCCAAACCGGTTATATTGTAGGGTCCTTCCCAGTTTGCCCCTAGCTTGCCTTCGTCCGGCACCAGTGTGTTGCCCATGACCTTCCTTAAAGCCCCATAAGATAGCCGTTGGAGCGTCGACACCCTTTTAGTCTCCCGTCGGCGAGCTCGATCCCTCAAGACAACCCGTAAGTCACCTCAACGAACGGAGTAGGAATTTCTCGACGTCATCGCCGGACGCAAAGGATGGTAGGTACTATCTTGCACGCTAGACTTCTTTACAAGCGCGTCTGAATCTCCCACCCTGTAACTTCTGGCGATAGAAATGGAGGGAATATGTCGCTAGCTCTGACTGCCTGAACGGCATGGTTGGGTGCGTTCACTGTGGTCTCCCACTCCAGCACACCCTTTCCATTGACATGCCGTTTCAGAGCTTCCATCTCTGCCGCCATTCTCTGGATGACGGCGTCTTGGTCCCTTAGCTTATGTTCCAGTCGCCTAGCGTGCGATTCTCTCCACCGCCGGTGACTGTCTGGACTCCGAGAATGACCAAAGCTTCTTCCGCGCTTATCTCGCGCGTCTCTTGAATGTCGTCCTGGAGAAGTCTCCAGGTCCGCCATAGGAGGAATGGCTGGATGTTCTTCTCTCCGTCTGCCTGACTCCGAGGTAACTCCGTCGATGGCAGACAACGGAATCTTGTCGTTGTTCGCCATGGACGGCGATCAGATGAGCCTGGAAGACAAGGTTTTGTCTGTCAAGTTTTCCACAGACGGCGCCAATTGTACGGGGAGCAAATATTCAGGCAAGCCCGTATTCCTTTCTTCCAAGCTCCGTTTCTGTCCGATCACCTGCGAACACAACAGCGGTGAGCTACCCGGTGGTGTGTGGCCGGAAAACCCCTCCGACGATCAAGTTAGAACACACACAGGGGATAGATAGAGAGAATTGAGAGTGTTTAGTGTATGTCTCACCAAATGTTCATCTGCCTGGCGTATGGGGGGCGCAGACGTACTTATATACCTTCTGCGTCCCAAATCTATTCCTAGTGACCTCTTAACACGTGGCACTGCTATCTCATCTGTCAGCATAAACCTTGCTGAGCACCACCTAACCCAACTGCCTGCCCATTCTCCTGGGAGCTCGGCAGCCGGGCAGTACCATTTCGGCCATCGTCTGCCATGCTGCGCTTCATGCCCAAGTAACAGCTAAGCTCAAATGAGGACCGGACTCAGCGGGATCTCGGCAAAGCCGAGCTCGAGACAACTCACGCTTGTCTGCGGTCGGCCTACCTGTCGAGCAAACAGGTACCTCGGTTCAACCTTGCCTTTCCTGGCGCTGGACTTTTCACCTGACCGGCTTCGTGACCACAGCTCCTTGCAGCTCGGTCAATCCACGCGCTGCCTTAACCGAGCAGCTTCCTTCAAGGCTGGGCCACACAACTTGGCCCAACACCTGTTCGGCCCAAATCTGTCTGGCACAACTTTGTCCGACCCAAATCTGTCCGACCCAATTCCATATCATTAATCTCCCTTTCAATATCTAAACCCAAAAAGAAAAAGTAATGAAAACATCTAAATAATAGATACATCTTAATGTATAAAGTGATTAATCATCTATAATATGATGTCAAAACATAAAAGAACTTATTGCTCAATAATTAAAAAAGTAACTCAAGCAGTAAATTCAAATTTTAGAGATTCCTCGAGAATATAATTATTGTACAGGTTTTTCTTCGTGTGAGTTGTGATTATATAAAATAATGTAAGAAAGAAAGTATAATTTCATATATAAAATCACTATAAAATTTAAACGATAAATCCATAATATAGAATAGTATAGAATTTGTATTGAAAAAAATCCTATTATCTTTGAAAAAATTAAGAAGAAAATCGTGAAACACAAAATTGCCATTGAGTTTGTCGATTATCTCAATTTAGCATGAAAAATATATAGAAAAAAATATTTGTCAAATAGAGTCCATATAAAATAGGTAAAATTAGCATAATTTAAATTAGTTTTGAGTTTGTTTAAAACTCTATATGTAATTAAAAAAATACATGCTGACATAGCTCTCTTACTTTACAAAAAAATTAAGCATTTATAATGTGTCATCTAAGTATAAAAAAAAATACTATTTTTAATAATATATATATATATGAAGAGGCACAAAAATAATTCAATTAATTATAATTCTTTTTAAAAATTCGTATTAAATAATATCTGGACCATATAAGCAGATTTAAGCAAATTTGACAATAAAATATAAGCAAATTTCACCCACTTACATCCAAATATGTGAAATTTCATTCTGTCAATTTAGGCTTCGTTAAAGAGTAAATTATTTTAATAATATTTTGATTTAAAAAAAAAAAAAAATTTGACAAACGAGGCCTTATTTTCACTTCATTTCTTTCCTCCCCTCAATCCAAAATGAGGGTAAAAAGAGGTTGTTCAACATCGAATCTCCACTGCAGCAACAAACCACCGTCCAGGTTGTGGATCAACCAAGGAAAACGCCAACAGAGGAGAGAGAGAGAGAGAGAGAGTGAGTGTGAGTATGTGTGTGTGTGTGTTTTTGAGAGCCACATCTACTGGATATACAAGGATAACGGTTTAAAAAATCAGTTTCCACACAAAAAGAAAAATAAAATGTTGTGAAATTTTTATTTATTCATTATTCACATACATATATATATATATATATGTTTTCCTCATCTGTTCAAATCCACTTATTCATTGCTCTTTCTTGAATTTTACCCAAAACCAACTCTCTCTCTCTCTCTCTCTCTCTCTCTCTCTCTGTCTCTAGCAGAAAATAAATATGCAGCCAAGTGCAGAAGTGAATCAACGCATCGCAAGAATCTCAGCTCATCTCCATCCTTCCAATCACCAGGTCTGTCTTCTCTCATAACTCTCTGTCTCTCTTCAAATCTATACATTTCATGGTCCATGCTCAACTAACTAATCCCAATACATGTATTACCCATCCCACACATAGTGTTTGTTTATGCAATTTTAGCTATGGTTTAGTGTACATATATAACTTTCTAATCTTTGGGTCATTTTAAACTCACTCTTCTTGGTTTTGTTCTGGGTATTGATCACAAAGCCTCAATTGGGAATATAAAAGCTAAAATTTTCTGGGTATTGCTCATGAAGCCTAAATTGGGAATTGTATAGCTAAAATAAAAAATAAAAAAAAGTGTAGACCCCCTCTATGTTTGGAGAAATTATTTTTGTGACTTGCGTTTATCCCTTAATTATAGGTAAAATATCTGGGAAATGAAGTAGATCTGTTGTAACTAATTTTAATGCCTGGTTTTGATGCTATTGAAAATGTTGTTATGGTTGATATAATGAACCTCAAGATGGAGGAAAGTTCCATTTTGAGGCGAGCTAATTGTAGAGCAAAAGGAGGTGCTCCTGGGTTCAAAGTTGCTATCTTGGGAGCTGCTGGAGGCATTGGCCAACCCCTAGCAATGCTAATGAAGATGAATCCCCTGGTTTCTGTTCTTCATCTCTATGATGTGGTCAATTCCCCTGGTGTCACAGCGGATGTTAGTCACATGGACACCGGTGCTGTGGTAATTTTCTTTCATCAAATGCTTAATTTGTTTCAAAAAAGTGCACAGAATGCAATACTGCCATGATGCATGTCTGTACGCTCGTATGTGAAGTTTTTTCATGTGGCATTTGAAACATAACGTTGTTTTGGGGTTTCTAGGTGCGTGGTTTTCTAGGACAGCAACAGCTTGAAGGTGCTCTTACTGGAATGGACATTGTGATCATACCTGCTGGTATTCCGAGGAAGCCAGGAATGACAAGGGATGATCTCTTCAAGATTAATGCCGGGATTGTCAGGACCCTCTGTGATGGAATTGCCAAGTGCTGCCCTAATGCCCTTGTCAACTTGATTAGTAATCCAGTGAACTCTACTGTTCCAATTGCGGCTGAGGTTTTCAAGAAAGCTGGCACTTATGACCCAAAGCGACTTCTAGGAGTGACGATGCTGGATGTGGTGAGAGCCAATACTTTTGTGGTAAGTTATAATCAACTTGATATCATCTCTGTTTTCTTTAATGTTGAGTACTATATGTTTGTGTTTTTGCCTTCACCATAGACTATATAAAAGATTGCCATATTTGGTTTATTTTAGTAAATGATGATCCAATGCCAAAAATGTTAACTCCTCACAAATTACAGTTGAGAGGCAAAGATTTATGTAACAACAGAGGCCTCATTTCTACTTTGTTTCAAGTATCAAGTTCTATTACACAATTCAAAAATTGGGCAATAATGGGGCATGGAAACAACTTCTCATCCGTATACCTTTCTTGGCATTTTGGCTACAATCAAGTGTGTTTCTGTTCTTATCAGTTTAACTTCTCATATTATTCTTGTTTCCAAGGTGATGACCTGCTCATGTTCCCGACGAAAAATTGTACCTTGATGATATAAGTAAATAAGAATTATAAACCCACACATATGGGATACTGGCCTAATATACATACCATAGTCTGAGAGTAGTTTGCAGCTGCCAAAACAAAGATTGTATGATTTCATGCCTTCTATTGTCAGCGGTTTGGTGCTTAATGTTTCATAATATGCTTCTCTTGATCTTATTAAGGCTGAAGTTTTGGGACTTGATCCTAGAGAAGTTGATGTTCCGGTTGTTGGAGGTCATTCAGGAGTGACTATACTGCCTCTTCTGTCACAGGTCTGAGCAAATGCATTTCTAAATTTTAACATTTTAAGATTTGTATCCCTACACAACTCAAGTAATATAAATTTATGAAGAGAAACAACTTTCAAATGAGTGATCAACTTGGTATATATCATTGGATTCAGGTAAAGCCTCCGTGTTCGTTCACCCCGGAAGAAACTGAATATCTCACTAACCGGATTCAAAATGGTGGAACAGAAGTTGTTGAGGTATTGTACTTATTAGCATCTCTTGAAATCAAGTATTAGCTTTAGAATCATATTAAGCAAAAAACGATTTGATCTAGTTATCAATATAAATTTATCTATTGTAGTTCACATTTCAATTGAATTGTTTGCAAAATCCAGTTGACTAAATGCACATGCTTACAAATCCATATCATTTGTTGTTTTTCAACCAATTTCCTCCATTTTTTTGCCTCATTTGGTTATATTTCATTAGTGTTTGATCTTTACTTATAAGCCCAAAACTAATGTTTCTGCTACGACATACATATTCTAGCCTGTGAGCTTTTTGAACAATTTTCTCCAAAATACTGAGTACTAATGGGATGGTTCAAGGGCATGATCATTGCAATTTGGTTTTATCAATTTTGGCTCCATTTGATTAGGGTTGTAAATGAGCCAAGTCTAGCTGAGAAGTAGGTTGTTCAAATTTGGTTTGAATACTTTACGAGCTTTAAAAATTATGTTCCAGATTAGTTTGTCTTTCGAGGCTGAGTTTGAGTAGCTTGATTTTTTTAATAAAATTTTATAGTGCATATAAGCTTGTCGAGCTGAGTTCGAGCTAAGTTCAGAAAATCAACAAGCTTTAAAATGTGATCAAGCTATAACAAGCCGATCTCGAATGAGCTAAACATGGGTTGTGCTCGAGTTGCTTCTTCGTTTTAGTACCCAATATCTGATAATGGACCATTTTGAAACTTCAATAAGAGAAGAAGATAGCATAACTTAAAACTGGTCCATAATGCAAATCTAGATTGCACTTTACCTATAGCAGTAGTAACACAAGTCACTTCTGTTTTCTGTCTCCTTTCTTCTATTATAATTAATGCATCAATTATTTGGATCCTATTTAAGTTAATAATGTTCAAATCACTTGCAGGCAAAAGCTGGGACTGGCTCTGCAACACTTTCAATGGTTTGCAAAATCTATTTTATTTTTCTGTTCAATTTTGGAAAACTTTGTAAAGAAAAGAATTTAAAGCCACACGAAAATATAAAAGAAAATGTATTGCATGTATAGGCATATGCAGCTGCCAAATTCGCAGACGCGTGCCTGAGGGGGTTGAGAGGAGATGCCGGTGTTGTGGAATGTTCTTTTGTCGCTTCTCAGGTGCTTTGTTCGTTCATTTTGCATCGACATTCCTTTTTGCTTTTCTTTTTTTAACATTTAACCAACTCTGCAAGAGTGTTTATTATAGGTGACAGAACTCCCTTTCTTTGCATCCAAAGTACGACTTGGTCGAACTGGAGCTGAAGAGATCTACCAACTAGGACCTCTGAATGAGTATGAGAGGTATGTATGATAGATCAACCATAAAATATGTTCATGTTGAAGAACATGAGTGAAATAGGAGAAGGTGTATATCCATTCACTAGATGATGATATATTTTACAGGGTTGGATTGGAGAAAGCAAAGAAAGAGTTAGCGGGCAGCATCCACAAGGGAGTTTCCTTCATTAGGGCATGAAAAAGAGACCAGGAGATGACATATATCCAGGGGCAGCGCTAGGTTTGGAATATGAGGTCAGCTGACCATATAGAATTGAAAATATTTAACTAGATTTATATAATGTACTTATAAGGTGTGGATCAGATTTCTCATGCGACTCCATCGAGATGAATGAAAAAGTATGTAAAAATAAGATCTTGGGTTCAGTATCGTCATTTTGTTATTATTTGATGTCAATCTGATCTTTTTGGTTGGTACTTAAAAGTCAACCTAGTAAACAAAAAAAAAAAAATTAAATTAAATTGGGGTTTTGTTTTTCAAATTTCTCATGTGACTCCATCAAAATGAGTGAAAACATAAGTAAAAATAAGATCTGGGGTTCAAATATTGTCATTTTGTTAATCAAATATTTTTGTTTTATACTTTTTAGAGTCAATTTAGTAAACAAGCAAAAAAATTAAAACTAGGGTTTTGTTTTATGAAATTGGGGAAAATTGAATTTGGTTGATTTTTTTTATTTATTATAATTAATCTCATTTAGTACAGGTTTGTTTGATTCAGTTAAACTTTCATTTTTATTTATTATAATTAATCTCATTTAGTACAGGTTAGTTTGATTCAGTTAAACTTTGTGTTTAAAAAAGTTAAATGACCCCTCAGAAAAAATTCTTAAAGCCGCCATTGAGTATGTTTTTATAGAGATTAAGGATTTCTTATAATCTCTCAAAATGCTTTGTATATTATTATTTTCTTACTGAAATGTCACTTAAAGACAGCAGTATGGCATTGAAATTAATAACACTAGTCTGTTCAGCCAACCTATAGGCAGCAAAGTGAAATGTCCAAAGCAACAAGTCCATCTAACTTTTCGAATTGTACAATTGTGTTTGCAATCTAAACCTGCATACTTCATTCGTGCTGATACAATTAGGGTTGTAATTCGGGTGGGTTCGGTCGGGTTGGGAGGTTGTCTAAACTTAGCTCAAGTTGTGCTGAGACCTGTCCAGGCCCGTCCAAATTCAAATTGTAATCCGAAGTTGTCTGTCCAATCCCGACCCAAGTTAAATCTGAATTGTCCGAGTTGCCCGAATTAGTTGTAAATGAATTTTTGTTTTTGTTGTTGTTATTGTTGTTTTTTTATTTTTTTTGCAGCTACATTATTAAATTATTAAGATTTAATACCATCAAAAAAAATAATTTATATAATGTAAGAGAGATATCATTATAGTAGTCTTTACAATTTATAAGTGAAAATAAAATAAAATAAGATTATATGTTATTTGTATATATAATATATATTCAATATAATTTAATAATCTAAATTACTTTAATATCATGTAATAGCTAATAATTTATATGTATATTTAATATTTTTATATATCTATATATGTATAATTCGGGTTTCGGGTTGCTCGGGTTGTTTGACGTCTTTGCCCAAACCGTCCAAATTTAATTCGGGATTCTAAATTTTTGCCCAAATCCGTACCAAAATTAAAAATATCTTGTCCAAACCCTAAAAAAATTCAAGCTGAGTTCGAGTTGCTCAAGTTGAGCCCGCCTAAATTGCACCCCAAGATACAATGATTCTAATGTTTAGATCGAATTAAAATTTTAAAAAAAATGATTCCTGATTTATTCTTGCATGAATCACACATTCTCAATGTTGGCTTATTTTTCCTACGAAGGAAAATACCATAAATGCGAGCGTGCCAGTAAGGATTGAAAAATCCTTACAGATTAAATTCAAGCCAATTATCAAGCAATTGCGTTAACGGTTCTTTTGCCTCAACAAAGAGGACTTCAAAATTGTCAAGTGTAAAGAAAAGAAAAATTAAAAAAAGAAAGAGGGAGATAGAGAAAGATGATTGAGTGAACAATCAAAATAATAATTATTTACCTCTACTCCTATACTTTGAAAAGGAAGTGCATAAAATAGTTTGAAAAGAAAATGCTGAAAATAAATGTTTCGAAGAGGAAGTATGTAAAATAAAATGTAAGAAATATAAATGACAAGAAAAATAGAAATCAGTTATCTTTGATTTGAGTTTTTGATCCTTACAATGTAGCCATTGATGGCTATTTATACAGGAAAAAATACTGCAATAACTACTTAGTAACTACCCATCTTCATCATTGTCTTGCTATATGTCCTTCCACTCATCCACTTTGTCATTCATATTTTCCATCACCTCCATAACTTCTTTTAACTTCCAAATGAATAAAAGGATCACATGTCCTGATAATAATAATAATAATAATAATAATAATAATAATAATAATAATAATAATAATCAAAAGGGGAAGCAATGCGCAAAAGAAAGAAGATAAATAATATACACCACCAGATGGAATAATATACACAAAATAACCAAAATAAATGTTTAATCAAATAACTTGCAATTGTTTTTAATCAAATAACTTACAATTGTTTAATAGAAGTAACTGCAGAGCGTTGCTCCAAAATACATAAAAGGCAATATTGAATAGCAGAGAAAGGTGTTGGTTCTACTCAGAATCCTAACAAACTCAAACTCTAATTACAAATGTTTTAATCATTACAATTTACGGAAAAGAAATTAACTATGCAACATGTGACTTGGAGTTGATCATGAGAGCAGTTGGCAGCACATGGGCAAAAGCAGGCTGGCAGATGCTTTCGGTTGATTGACTGAAAGTTGAAGTAGCTTTTAACAGATTGATTGAGTGATGAACAGTAAAAGTGAACAGTAACTTTTACTATTCTTTACTTTCGGTGGAGACATGTGAATAAAGGAATCAATATAAATATAATTGGCAGCTTTTCTCAAAAGAGTATTGATTAAAGCTAATTTGTTTTTATATGGAATCCAATGCAGAGTTGACTAGGCATATGGGTCCTGAGCATCTTGAAACTCGGGTCCATATGGATTTTGAGTAGTTGATCCTTCAAAAGAATGTGAACTGTCTGAACTTTCTTCTGAACTGCTGTTATCCGAATCTGACTGGGCTTGGGCCTGATTAACAAGTAGACGAGCCATTTTGAGCAGCTCATCTTTGGATGACTTAGACTTAGATTTATCATTGGGCTTGACTTTGGGTTGAGCCTGAGATGCAGAAGCTGTAGACTTAACCTTGGACTTTGCTTTAGCAGTTATGGGCTTTGCTTTATCTTTTGATTTAATCTTGGACTTGGGCTTGGAAGAACTTGAAGATGGGCTTCCAAGATTGACTGTAGGAAGTTGGCTTCCTTGGGTGATTAAAGCAGTTGGGTTCTGCTGAGCTTTAACCATGGCAAGTGCAGGAGCATGAATGTTAATCGACAACTCAGTTTGAACAATTTCAACAATACGAGAAACTTTGTAGTTATCCCACCATTTAAAATTATGTTGTCGGTAAATAACATCATCTGAAATGCCATAGTGTCATTTGAATATCCAAGGGATTTTGTATTTGGATATAAAAATAAGCAATTTAGGGAATTTCTTCTGCTATGGGGTGAATGCGAAAACAGTTGAAAAATAATTAACCTATTCAATCAGAATAGACGGGAAGATATCTGAAATGGCGCCATAATGAGTCCACCATCGCAGAAACCAAGTAGGTAATTATGATTTGAACTTTTGATCAAATTGGAGAAACCAGGAGTGACTGTATGTTTCATTTTGATACAAAAATACTTTGAACCAGGCATCAATATAGACATAATAACTATATTATGTCTATATTGAAGAGAGTGATTAGGTAAATCTCGAAGTTGATGAGGAGAACCCCATTCAACTAAGGAAACAATATTGTGAATATGGAGTGAATGGTAAACAACTTTACTTGTGTAAATACGATCATAAATTGGTTTAATCACAATTGACTAGTGGTTAAACAGGATATCTTTATAGAAGGTAATTGACTATTTTGGATGCATAAGAACAAAATGCCATCCAGGAGGAAAATAAGATTTAACCAGGTCATTAACAGACTGACTCTTTGGGTGACTAGGCTCTTTGAAAAAGAGATTAGTGGTGGTGGATTTAACATAATCAGATCGGGCTAATTTAATAGGATTAGGAGGGTATGGAGTGACTGCTTGGCTGGATGAAGCAAAAGGATCAGTGGCCAAAGCAGAAGTGTAACTAGGTTTAGGAATGTTACTAAGAACTTGGTAACGGTTAATCATTTCAACAGGATGGTATTTGGTTACTAACTCCAAAGGAGGAGAAACAAAAGGTTAACTAGATGGGACCAAAACTTTGGAAGGAGGCTTTGGGCGAGACATCTGTTTAATAGAAACAAAGATTAGCAACAAAACTTAACAACCACTAAAGAGATCTAAGTAAGCTTGATGATAATTCAAATAGTTGTAATAATCAGCAAGTAAATAGCGACGAGCTTGAATCTGGTGATAGTTAATATACTGAGCACGTTGAGTAGTTTTTCGTGTTAATTTTAATCGAGCAATGCGGTAAGCAGTTTGGTGAATTAGATCACGGTAATGGATAATTTGGGTTTTATGGTAAGCAATAAATGGAGTGGTCATCGCTCAATCCTATCCCTCTGTAAATATTCTCGGGTAAGAAAATCAAGAATATAATTTCGACAACCAGGTATGTATGTAATATCAAAATAAAAAAATACTTAATATAGATTGCCATCGGGCAAAAATTTGCTTACTAGCAAGATTTTGAACATCTTTTTCTAAAACATATTTAGCAGATTTACAATCAACACGAAGTAAAAACTTTTGATTTAAAATATCATCTTGATATTTACTAATACCTAAAACAGTAGATAAAATTTCTTTTTTAATATTCTATAATTTAATTGTGCTTTATTCTAGACACCAGAATGATAACGAACAAGTTGTTCAGAAGACTGAGGAGTGGTTTTCTGAAGAAGAATGCCACCATAACCAATATCAGAACCATCAGTTTGAATAGTTTTGAATGAATTTTCAATAGGAATACCAAGACAAGGAAGAGACTTGACATATTGTTTGACTTGTTTAACAATAGCAGTACGAGTAGAAGACCAAGGAGGAGGATTGTCTTTTAACCGATCAAACAGAGGTTGGCAGTTCCTAAGGTCTTTATAGAACTCAGCAATATAATTAAGTGAACCTAAGAACCGTTGTAACTAGGTTTTATCCAAAATTTCATCAAGGAACTTTGACGCAAACTCAATGAAGCGACTAATAGGTAGAATCGTATTTTGGTGAATATCAGAACCTAAAAATTTGACTTTGGTTTGAAACAATTTAATTTTAG